GGCTGGAGGCCTGGCTGGAGCAGTCCTGGGCCACAGGGGACTGGACGGCCAATGCTCGCTACATCACCCGGTCCTGGATCCGGGATGGGCTCAAACCACGCTGCATCACCCGCGACCTGAAGTGGGGCACACCGGTGCCCCTCGATGGCTTCCGTGACAAGGTGGCTCCAGCCTGGCCCCTTGGTTGTGATCCCTGTCCCCAGGTGCCCTGCTCGGGGCCCCATGCTCACCTCTCTCTCCCCCCAGGTCTTTTACGTCTGGTTTGATGCTCCCATTGGGTACTTGTCCATTACAGCCAACTACACTGACCAGTGGGAGAGGTGGTGGAAGAACCCACAGCAGGTAGGAGCCTGGTGCTGCTGCGGGGTGGAGGTAGGGGACAGAGCTGGACACCACTGATGTGTCCTCCCACCGCTACCCATCAGGTTGAGCTCTACAACTTCATGGCCAAAGACAATGTTCCATTCCACAGCGTCATATTCCCCTGCTCGCTCCTGGGTGCTGATGACAACTACACCCTGGTGAACCACCTCATTGCTACAGGTACCGGAGAGTCACTGTGGGTCTCCACGCTTTTTCCTGTGCTGCACAGGCACAAGACCCACACTTGCCCTCCTTGACTTGTCAGCCCTCTGAGCTCGCTGTGAGCACCCTGAGCTATGGGGCTGGGTCCATACTTGGGCCTCATGGTGGGGTCTCTGCTGCCCTCCCCAGAGTACCTGAACTACGAGGACGGGAAGTTTTCCAAGAGCCGGGGTGTGGGGGTGTTTGGGGACATGGCCAAGGACACCGGCATCCCTGCGGACGTCTGGCGCTTCTACCTGCTGTACCTGCGGCCTGAAGGGCAGGACAGCGCTTTCTCCTGGAGCGACCTCATGCTCAAGAACAATTCAGAGCTGCTGAACAACCTGGGCAACTTCATCAACAGGTTCTGGGGCAGCCTGGCTGGAGCAGGGCCTGTCTCTGTCCCCAGGCTGTGCTGACGCTTGCTCCACCTCTGTCCACAGAGCTGGCATGTTTGTGTGCAAGTTCTTCGGTGGCACCGTCCCCGACATGGTCCTGACGCCGGACGACAAGCGGCTCTTGGCCCGTGTCACTCTGGAGCTGCGCCAGTACCACCAGCTGCTGGAGAAAGTCCGGTGGGTGGCTGGAACCCTGAAGCCAGGGCTGCAGGGTGGGAGGGCAGAGCTCTGCCCTAGAGCAGACACTGATCCTTCTCTCCCCACCAGTATCCGGGAAGCTCTGAGATGTATCCTCAGCATCTCTCGCCATGGCAACCAGTACATCCAGGTGAATGAGCCCTGGAAGCGGATCAAGGGGGATGAAAAGGACAGGTAGGGGGAAAGGTGGAGGGCTGGGAGGCAGGCTGGGAGCTGGCATTGACAGAGGGTTTCCTGCCCCACAGGCAGCACGCAGGCACCGTGACTGGTGTGGCTGTGAACATGGCTTCCCTGTTGGCTGTGATGCTGCAGCCCTACATGCCCAGCATCAGCCTGGCCATCCAGGGGCAGCTCCACATCCCCCCAGACTGCTTCGTCCTGAGCCACGACTTCACCTGCACCCTGCCCCCCGGGCATCGTGTGGGCACTGTAGGTGGTGGGGAGGGCAGGCTGTGCCCCCCCAGGCAGTGTGGTGGTGGGACCAGGGCCAGTGGCTCTATAGGGTGACCCCCTCTCCCTCCCGGCTGCAGGTGAGCCCCCTTTTCCAGAAGCTGGAGAATGACCGGGTTGAAGCCCTGCGCAGACGCTTTGGGGGAGGGCAGGTGAGTGGGGGTCTCCACAGCTCCTTTGCCTCTGCTTTCTGTCCCTTTCTCATTCACTGTCTCTCCTTTCCCAGCCTGAAGATCTCACTGTAGAGCCCCAGGTAATGCCCTGGCACTGCCTCAGGGGTGCTGCAGCAACCTCCCTTCTCCAGCACGAGGGAAGGTGGTTGCAGAGCTCTGCCCCTGAGAGCTGGGGCCAGGGCTCACACCTAGTGCTGTCCTTCCACAGGCCAAACAGACACCCTCAGCCTCACAACCTCCTCCAGCCCCCGAGACCCCCGTGGCCAGGAGCTGACACAGGAGGTGGCCAGGCAGGTGAGCAGGGGGCGGGGTGGTGGCCCTGTCTTGCCTTTACCTCCCCAAGCCCTCATTGCTTCCCCATGACCTGTCGCAGGGCAACCACGTTCGGCAGCTGA